TGTTGCCCAATAACAACAAGAGCAGTTTGTTGGGTAAGTTGGAGTGTACCCTTGCTTTCTGTCTGAAGAATATGGTTAAGTTCGATCTGCCTGCTTTGATGATGCAACACATGGTGTTTTGCCGGGATCACAACCGGAAGAGTTTGCCGTATGGCATGGTGCTAAGTTGGATCTTGGTTAAGAAAGGTGTTAGTGTGGTTGGTTGTCCCTCGAAGGCTGTGGGAAAGATGGTGTTGGATACTGCCAATCTCCGGAGTTGTAATCTTTTTCTATTGGATAGTGGTGAGTACATCACGCTTGAAGAGGTTGCTAGGAAAGCACCTGTTGAGAGAGCAGAGTTAGTTGCAGAGCTTGAGATTCATGCCGGGAAGTTGAGCCTTGCAGTCCAGAGTTTGGGTGGTGACGAAGAAGTTGAGGAGGAAGCAGATCAGGAAGAAGAAGAAGGAACACCGGAGACCGCCGAAGCTGAAGTAAGTGAATCAGACGGTGAGGAACGCCGTAGAAGGGAAGAAGTTCGCACCAAGAGAGGGCAGGATGTCGCCTCTTTGCTTCGTCAGCAGAACAGTTTGATCGCCGAGGGTTTTGCGTTTGTGAGGTCGCAGTTTGCCGCAGTGCATCAGAGGCTGGATCGGTTTGAAGCTAGTTCTAGTCACAGAGATGAAGCTGAAGAAGAAGAGTCTGAAGAGGCCGAAGAGTCAGAGAGTGAAGAGTTATAGTGGTGTTGTGGTAACCCCGTTCGTTTCTTTCTTTGTTGTTTCTTAGCCTTTGTAGCTTGGTGTTTGGTTGTTGTGTGCTTTGTGTGCTTGCTTGCTTTGTTTGTTTCCTTGTTGTTTAGCTAGTGTGTTAGTTGGTGTTTGGGTTAGTAGTTTAGTTCTTGGTTGTTGTCTAGAAGTTGGTTGTTGTGTTGAGGTTAGAGTTCTTGATGCCAATCTATCCGTTTGTTGATCTCTTGTCTATCCTTAGATTCGTAATGCCTTTTCTTTGCTTTGGAACCCTTGTGAGAACTTTTGGAGTTTTTGACCAAAAGGGATATTCTTGAAACTTCTTGTCACAATTTTGTTTCCTTGTTACCTTTCGTTTTAATTCGTTGTACCCAAGTTTCGGGGACGAAACTTCTTTGAAGGGGGAGAGGATGTAACACCCCAAAAATCCATACTCCAAACCATGAATTAATTGAGTAATTAATTCTATTTCTTTTGAGGAATTGATTCCTAAAATCCTGATTTTTGATACTCAAGGACTAGTATTTGACTAGTCAATCTTTAAGTTGTGTTGTACCTTGTGCTTTGAGAGGAGTTCCCTTGTTCCTTACACTTTCTAAGAGTTAGTAAGCGTATCCTTGTCTTTTCACCAAGAGCTAGTCTTGTAACCTAAACCTAGAAGACTTCTTCATTTCATTCCCTTACATTTCCTAGAAAATATCTCTACCTTCTCTCTAGAATAGAAGAGTAGCTTGTTCTTCAAGCCAAAAGAAGCCTTTGTCAAGATTCCAAGTTTTGCTTCCAAGATTCAATCTTTCCTCTATTTTGGCATCTAGAAGGGTAAAATCTAAGCTTGTCTAGTCTTTTTGGTTCCATCTTAGTTGTCTTTTTCTTAAAGGTTGGATCTTTATGATCTTTTGGTTTGATCTTGAAGTGGGTTTGGCTAGTGAGCTTAGTGGAGAGCTTGTTGTGGTGTAAGAAGAGTCTTTTGGTCTTCAAGAGGTAACCCATGCTCTACAAAACCTATTTTGCTTACCTATATATGATTTCTTGGCTTCTACTTGTGTTTTGATATGAAATGTGAGAGTTTATGCATTTATCTTGTGATATTGCATATCTAGAGCTTGTGTTTAGGATTCTTTTGTGCCATTGCTTGGCATTTTCCTTGGTTCAAGTCATTTCGTTGTGTTTGGTGAGATTTGGCATGTTTTGGACTTGAATTTGTGTTTGGAGGAGAAAATCACCGAAGGGATTTGTTGTGGTACAGGGACGTACCCGCGGGCGGAACGGCGGGCGGGGCACCACCAGCCGGCCTACCCGCGGGGAACGTGTGCCCTGCGGGTTGTGTACCCGCGGGCGGGACCACGGGTGGAGCACTACCCGTGGGTCCACCCGCGGGGAACACGGTGGAGTTGGTTCAGGATTTGTTCCCCGTGATTCGTTTGTCTTGGTCTTTGATCTTTTGGCCTCCCGTTGTTCTTTTGTGGAACTATTTGAGCGTCTTCTTGATGTTTCGTAGGTCTAGAGCTTTATGGTAGGTATCCGTGTAGGATCTTTGGTGTTGTGAATCGTGCTAAGTGTTCAACATTGTGTTTCGTTGAACCGTGTGGTGTCTTGTGTGTTCCTCGGAACTATCTTGAGTTTCCTCGTTGTTGAGCTTGCTAGTTATTATCTTAATGCTAGCGTCGTTGTTGTCGATGGGTGGTGACCTGTCTCTTGATTGAGTGTGTTTCATACCTTCTCTTGCAATCCGTTGTTCGTTTCGTGTGAGTGGTGGTGCGTGTGTGGCTCTACCTGGATTGCACGATTAGTGGTATGAGACACTAGTCACCAAGGTATTGCAGCGGTCCTCGTGGTGGCCGTGACGTGATTTCATGGAGTTGTGGCTGAGTCCACGTGTTTGGGGGATAACATTGTGTTATCCGGGCATGTGTTGCCGTGAATTGGTGGGTTTTCGTTGGTGGTCTGTAGGTGGGGGACGACGGTCCCGGCGGAATAAGGTTGGACTTGGCTGTACAGGGGTTTTCTGGAGGTAATGGTTGGCACCGAAGGTACAAGGTTGGGGGTAGCCATAAGGTTGGAACAGGGTATAAGGAAGACATATCAACTCGTGATGTGTGATGTCACGAGGGCTTGTGAAGCCGTTATTGTGGTGAGTTCTCTTCTCTCGTGACGTGTGTAGTCACGAAGACTTGTGGTGTGGTGTTTTGGCATGTGTTGCCGGTGGGTGAGTCTTTATCCTTGTGTGTGGTTAATCTTTGTGGTTGGGATGTGTTCCCGGTTTTATCCTTGTGAGTGGTGAGTCTTGTGTTGTCTTTTGATCTTGGCTTTTGACTTATATATATGTATTCCGTTTCGAAAATGGTTTTCATATTATATATCTACCTATTTATGATACTTAACGGTATTGGTGGGTTACCAGCATCTTTCGCTGACCGGGCGTCGCCCCGATGTTTATCTTTGTATCTTTCAGGTGATGCGTAGTCGAGCGCGATGTCTAGAGCCGGTAGCTTAGCACCTGTATCTTTAGACAGTGTTGTTGAGGTCTGTGTGCCAATGTCTTTAGATTGTTCTAGTTTGTTGTTTTTGGGATAGTGTTACACTTGCAGATTGTCGCCGTAGCGTATACCTAGTGTGGTATACGTGGCATAACACCCCGTTTTGGATTCCTTTTATCCAGTTATCTTTTTATCTTCCGCTGTGCTAGTGTTTTGTTGTTAATCTGCATGTGTTAAGACTTGTTTTTAAGTCGTGTTTCGGGGGGCGTTACAAATTCATTCCGTGAACCAAGCGTGCTGTCAAAGTGATTGGTATTATTTGGTTGATAGGTTTTAGAACACTAATTATGGGTTTCAAATACTACTTTAGGGTGTGTTTGGAAACGCGAAAAATGATTTCTGGAAATCATTTTCCGGATTTCTAGTGTTTGGTAGGGAGGAAAACACTAAAGTCAAAGGAAAATGAAATTCAATCAATGGAAAATTGATATACTTTTTCGAAAAATGACTTCACCTTTTTTTTTCGGGTGAAGTCATTTTCCGCGTTCCTCATTCTTCTTCGCACAACCACAGAGGCGTTGTTTCCTTCTTCTTCTTTGCACGACCATGGAGGCCTTCGTCGGGTTGCTTCATTCTCGACCACCGGAAACAGTTTCCGGCTATGGGTACGAAAACCCACAGCCGAAAACGTATTGATTTTTTACTTGAAAACCCACAGATTTGGTTTTCCAAGTCAGAAACCAGTTTGGTTTTCCGACTTGGAAAACCAGAATCTCTGGTTTTCCAAGAAAGAAACCAGATTGGTTTCAAGGAAACCCAAATTGGTTTCCTTGGAAACCAATATGCTTTTTGCCGAAAACCAAACCAGTGCTCTGGTTTGGTTTCCGGCAAGGAAACCAAACTTTTTTTATTTTATTATTTTTTAAAAAAATTTATTGTTTGGGTTTTTAAATAGATGAAGATTATAGGACAAGTTAAATTTCTCTTGCCATTGGCATTATAACAATTAAAATGGTGAATTATACAATTTTATTCATTTTGCGGAAAATGAACCAAACACACAAAGACAATTTTCTATTGTGCAGCCAAACACCGGAAAGGAAAATGTTTTTCTGAAAATGAGTCATTTTCCAGAAAATATTTTCCAAAAGTCATTTTCCTGCATTCCAAACGGACCCTTAATTGAAAAACTCATACCCAAATAAAATAAGGATATTATCCACTTTCATTTCCTTATAGAAAATACTACGTGTACTCCCATTTTATACTCCCAACTTTTACTCGCACACATAAAATATTGGTAGACATTTGTATTTGCACCCACATTAAAAAAATAACTTATCAGTATCCATCACATCAAGGAGTAAAATTTAGAAAATAAAATTTAAGAGTTACATGTAGTATAACTCCTCTCTTATTCCTTCTCATCCCCTTTGATTAGTGTTTCTAGATTTTTGTTTTTATTTTTTTATACTGGTATTTTGTATGCCTATATGACTATATATTAAAATCAATTGTCTTGATTTTGTGTTCTTGTATTTTAAAAATCTTTATTCTGATTATTGAATCATACATAACCAAACATCATTATTAATAATTATTCCCATTCCACCCTACTACTAAACATGCAAAGTACTTTTACTAAAACTCATTACCATTACCAAGTATTTGATATTCATTCCAATTCAGATTCCCATGTACGAATCAAACACACCCTAAGGATTGTTAGCATTTCAGGTATCATCAAGGGTGCAGAGAAATGGCAGTAGAGCTAAAATCTTTTCTACAGAACTGCCTAAAGTTCCAACTAAAAAGATTCATGTTTTACCTGAAATTTAATCAAAAGATACTCAATTTTAATTAACTACAAGAAGTCTACAACAATCTGAAATGAAACAATGTCTGAATTCAAGGCGCCATGCGTACGAAACAATGTCTTACTACTGAAAAGTGAAGTGAATCTCACCAACTTTCACCACAGATTTCAACGTAAAATAAGTATTGTGTGGCTGATTAGTCACGCTCGCTGATGGCTGTCAAATGCTCATCAATCTCTACAGTGGATAACACTCTAAAGGATGGATCTTCTTGCCTCACAACGCCAATCTGGACAGATACAGCAGTAACATATATTGCAATCAGACAGACAAGAACCCTTTATTCATTTCTAGGAGGGGAAAGGGGAATGAAAGTACCTCAATCTCACTGGCCTTGAAATCTTCTTGTAGAACAGATTGGAGAGCAGAGATTGCAGTCTGCAAAACAACATAGAAATAGGACAGCCAATTAGGCCATTTTAAAAGATGATGATGGTTCAGCATTTCCTCCACAGGTGCAAGGAAAATGAGTTTTAAAAACAAGTTTTTGTTTTGAATTTTCTTTTCACCTGTACAGTTTCTTCGTAACTGAAAGCCGGGTCATTTTTCATTTTCTTCTCAAGAAAGTTGATTGCCTCTTGTTCTTTTACTCCTGCACTAGTTGCCTGCAAATTTTATTTGTTAATACCAGACCAAAACGTGATGTATGCTTTGGAAATCAACTTCATGGAAGAAAACATTTGTTTTATAAAAATAAAAAATTAAAAAAAAGAATTACATTCTACAGACGGATAAAGATTTAAAAGCAGATTAGAGGATCAATCAGACAACCAGGATCCAGGTTTGGCAAACAGATACATGGGTTTGGCTCTAACAGGCATAAAAAAGAATCAAGTGAAGAACAGAAATTCGAACACATAAAGAGGAGATATAGGTTTTCCAAGCACCTTGTGACCAAAAAAATGACCTGCAGGATCACACTTGAAGAGCTGAGGGCCTTTCTCCTCATCTATACCCAGAATCATTGCAACTGCACATTGGAAACACGATGAATCAGAATGGGGACCAAAATATTGAAGCAGCAAACTATAAATCAATAGATAAGTGTACAAGTGATCCTGGACAAACCTACTCCAAGTGGTCTCATATAAGCATGCTGGGTATAGACCTGTGATTTGTCTGCAATCCTGTTTATGTTGAAAAGCACTTATTATATCTTATTTGAATAATATTATGCATGTAAAGGCAGGGTAGAGATCTCAGATTGTCTGCAATTATGTATATGTTCGTTGTCTCATTGACACATACTTATTACCTCATTAAAATACTACTACTGCTATAATTCATCAAAGAGAAGTCAATATCTATAAGAATGACATATAGTTGGCTGCTCATGTAAGCATCCTCATTTTGCATTTAATGACTTGAGAAACATGGTGCCCAGCTCATTACATACTGGCCATGACAATTATTGTTAATCCATTGAACAGAAGAAAATAATCATTTGAAACAGTTTAGCATACCATCTGGCCAGCACATCCACTGGCATTTCATATCCATATCTAAAGCGGAACTCAGCAGCTTCATTCCTAGCCTGTTGGACCAAGGTCCTAGCATCAGCTGAAAGAATGGATTGGAAACAGTAAGAAAGAGATAATGTTTTGGTAAAAATTCCAAATCCAGAGACCACCATTGTGCCAACGATGTATGCACATCATGGAAAAGTTTTTATACTAAGCAGAAAAGTTACAATGTGTTTCCAGCACTCCAACTTATTGAGCAAGTTAAAGACAAAAATACCATTTTTAAGTTTTTACATGTTTATTTACTCCATGTAAAATAAGTGGTAGAGAGTTAAGGGGTGTTTGGTAAATAGTTGTCAATTGATTGGGTTAGTGGGTTTGACTAGTTGATAGCATTAGCTGATTGTAGAAAGATGTTTGATAAATTAGCTGTTAGCTGATAGCTGATTACATGCAAAATGACTTTCTCAAAAAGCTTATCGAAAAAGCTACTTTGAACAACTTTTTGAATTTTAGCATTTTGGATCAATATGCTGTTAAACAAATAATAGTGGTCAAATAACCAAAATTGGCTGATAAGTTAACTATGTTACCAAACAGGGCCTTAATTAGTTCTATCCCAAATCCCAATCTCTAAAAAAAAAGTTCATGAAGGCTGGAAAAGAATGCCACAAAGCTTTAAACAAGAAAAAGGACTTACATGTTGGGAACATAAATACAAACTCTCCTAATATCAAGGTCTTCCATCATCTAAAATACAAATCATAGAATATATGGTCTATTTCCAATTATACCAAGAGATTTCAAGACCCTGAGCCTGAAGAAAGACAACAGAACAACCAAAACGAAGGACCATTTGACAACCTATCAGGACATTATGCTCATGATGGATGAATGATACCGCGATGTGATGAACATCCTCCTACACACTAGCATCATCAAGAATGGCACATTCTTTTCCCATTAACAAAATTACAAATCATCCTCAACCCCCACCAACAAGTTCATTGTTTCATTTATTCATTCAAGAACTAAAAGCAACAAACCTGTTATTCCAGTAGCCAACAATCCAAGATACTTGGTTACAGGAAACAGATGGGTTACACTTGTCTGATCCAATAGCTTGTCCTGCTCACCATAATCACATTAAAAATGTAAATCCACAGTCATCAGTGTAAAAAATAATGATTATTAACCTAATCTAATCTTGGATCAATTTGTACAAAATTCATGAACACCGAACACTAGAATCACCCAAATTTAATTGTATCTATCATAAATTGTAATTGTCACAAATACAGCCTTTCCAGCTATTTAAAAACATACTACTCCGTAACAACTAAGCATAAATCCTCAATAGCTAAATGAAACTCCAAAACGGTTTATCAAAATTAAGATTAAATATAAGAACTTACCGGGACTTTCTTCTGAGTAACCACACATACAGAATCTTTTCCTCGGACGCCAATGGAGGTGATTCCCGCGGCCTTCACAGCCTTAAACGCGTATTCTGTTCACAAAATAACAAACCCTACCAATTTTACACCAACAAAAAAAAAAAAAAAAATCCAATTTTGATGGAGCTGAAAGTGAAGCAAATTGCATTACGTCTGAAGTTTAGAGTTTTAAAGAGTGAACAAAAATCCTTCTGCTTACCGACTTGAAAGAGACGTCCTTCCGGCGAGAAGATCGTAATATGCCGATCATAGCCGCCGCCGCTTCCTCTACTCATTTTTTTATGTTTTGGAAATTCGTCAGAGCTTTGCAGTTGGTTTTCCGATTCAGTGAAAAGACGTACGATGTTATTGATCTATATGAACATTGAGAGAAAGAGGGGTAGAAGCTTTGTTCCCAAGACACTTCAGGGAAGAAGAAAGGTGAAATTGTTATTTCAACCCCAAACTTAGGTATAAATATAAACGATGCCCCAACATTTCGTTCTGTTTAACTTTCACCCCTATACTATCGATGAGCGATTTTACTAATGCAAGTATAGGATTTTTTTTATTTATTTTAGAACATCCTCAATAGTTGTAGATTTTGAGAAATTTTTGTAGGTGTGATTAGAAAAGAAAAAATAAGAACAAAGAGAAAAAAATAATTATTTTTTTTTTAAAAAAAAAAGAGAAACAAATGTCAGATTAATTCGCCTAGCGAGCGCGTAGTGTGCATGCGTCCCTTCGGTGCTTGTTGTGATTTTTATGCCACCAGCTTTTTCTTTTTTATTTTCTTGGTGGGTCCTACTATGAAGACAAACCTCCATCCTTCTCTCTCCTCGTTTCCTCGCTTCTACTTCAGCTATAAATTCCTTAAAAATTGGACAAAATTATTAATGAGGATGTTCTTAATGCATGGTTACTACTATGAAATAATAATGAAAATCGTAAGACAATATTATAGCATGACCATTAGTAATTTTTTAGGAATTTTTTGTTTTTTTTTTTTGTTTTTTTTTTTTTGTTTTTTTATGGAGGAGATGGAAGAGACTAGGAGAGAGAGTGGATGAAAGAGGAAAATAACAAATTTGCAATAAATTGAAGGAGAAAAAGAAAAATTTTAAAAAAAAAAAACAATTTAAGCAGTGCACGTTGAGCGCACAGGCATGCACAATTGGTGTGTTGGTTAGGAAGACATTTTGAATGGAATACAAAAGTAGGACGATTTTTTTTGGGATACAAACATAGGAAAAACTACATTGAGGAATGCATGTTTACTTTTTAAAACATGCATATGAGGAATGCATTATTAGCTTTTAATAAAATGTATTCTCAGGGAAAATACGATACATTATACGTAGATAGTACGGGGACAATACGGTAAATGTATACACATTAATAAATACAAATTTACGTATTAATAAATTGACAAAACCCTACTTATTTTATTATTCATCTCCCTTCCCCTTTTTACGTTCGGCCATCCAGGGAGAAGACAAAGACGAAGCAGTTGCATCGATCGGCGTCTGTTCGGGCGGTGGACAGCGGCGTTGTGTTAGGCGGACGGTGGCGTGCGGTGGTTTGTGGTGGTCGACGGCGTGCGGTGTTTGAGGCAGAAACGACGGCATTTACACTTCTTACTTCAAACTGATAGAAATCTATAGGTAAGCTCTAAACTTGCTAAGTTTTTCTGATGTGTGTTCGGGCGAAGGTAAGCCTTGGCCATGTTATATGAATAATAGGGGTTTGGGTGGTGATGTTTTTCTTATATCTGCAGCAATATGTTTACGTGGGTATTAGGTCCATATATAACATTTATCTTTGTATTTTTCCAGCCTGTGTACCCTTTCCAGCAATCTGTCTACCCAATTTGATAACATTTATCTTTGTATTTTTCCAGCCTGTGTAACCGGGAAACATTCTGCATATCAAAAATATTTTTTAACTACTCAAAAAAATTATTATTGTTTAAAAATAATGAAGTTTGACATTTTCTGTATTTTTTTTGAACCTATATTCACCTAACATGGTCTCACCGATGGCATGTTATATAAATAATTTGTGTAAATAATGGATTGCATGAATAGTTTGGTATTTTATGTTACTCCGTATGATAACATTAATGTTTGTTTTGCTTGAAACTTACTATGTAATCTAAAAAGTGTAGATATTATTAAAAACTGGTGAGCAATAATTTGTTAATAAATATTTGTTTATAGTTATGGAAATGTCATTGCACCCAGGACCGATTGATTCAATGTTGTTAGTATTGCAACAAAACCATCGTTCTAGAGCCATTTGGACAAATCGAGATTATAATCCCTGACTCAACGTCGGTCGGTACGATATGCAGACACAAAGTTGAGATGTTTGTCATCCCAAAATGCTTCATTACCTACGTGTTGCAGGGTTTTACGGAGTTGCTCACCTCACAAATATAAAGTTAGACCACGCATTAATTGCCGCCCTTATAGAGCGTTGGCGTCCAGAGGTCCACGCATTTCACATGCCCTTCGGTGAGGTGGGAATTACACTTCAAGATATTGAAGTGTTATTCGGATTGAAGGTGGATGACCTACCAGTTACGGGGGGAGATAAGTGGTCTGTCCAAGAGTGGAAGTCTGTTTTTTTGAATTGTTTGGAATTGAACTTCTAGATAAATTCGTTACAACTAGTAAGGTTAATTCAACAGTTGTACCCAAAGTTCCGAAACTCATGCCTAACAGCTCAGATCTTGAGGTAAAAAAAGTCACGCAAATACTTATGTTTCACTTATTAGGAGGCTTTCTATTCCCCAAAACAAATAAGACAGATATGGAATTATTTTTGCTTGAGTATATTCATGATTTTGAAGTGTGCGGTCAATATAGTTGGGGATCGACAACTTTAGCGTATCTGTACAGGGCATTGTGTAGAGGGGCCCATCATGAAACTAAGACCGTATGCAGATGCTTATTATTGGTACAAATTTGGGCATGAGAGAGATTGCCTATGGTTAGGCCACAAGGCGTTTTGCCTCAGGAAATACTTGGAGATTTGCCACTTGCAGCAAGGTTAGTTGTAAACTTTTGATTAAATGCTTGAATTTTTATTGTGTGTGAAGTACTTATTGTTCTATTTTGAAACGTAGGTGGAATTGCCGGCATTCATGGCGTTCTGTCCCCGGACACGTGGAACGAGTTTATCGCGACCAATTGGATCGACTTAGTGCAAGCAAAGTGAGTCACTTCAATGTAATGTTTATATTTTTACAATTATAATAGATATTTATATAAATAAAATTTTAACTTCATGACATTGAATTTTATTTTGCAGTTCAGTTTCACTCCATATGATAACATCTTGAATAGCTTGTCCCATTATTGCAAAGCAAGGCAAGAGTTTTGGACATTCCGGGTGCCTCTAATTTTCTTTTACATTGTTGAGTATCATTACCCAGATAGGTTTTTTTAGGCAATTTCATGGCCTTCAAGATGTCCCCACTCATGTGACATATAGTCACAAATTGCATGAAACAGACGGTCGTTCAGGTAATGCAAATGATGATTGGAATGTAAAGCATGCGACGCATGTGCAACAATGGAATAGTCGAGGTTTATTTATTACAGAAATGGCGCATAAGGAAGAACTAATGATTACTGATGCATACCAAGATTGGTTCTACCTGTATGGTCGACGGCTCATTGGCAACCCTGACCATAACTCAGACGATGGTTATTTGCAAAGTGCTGCTTCAATTAATAAATTGGTTAGTGTCTTAATATTTTTGACAATTACTTGATTATTATTTTTTTTGTAGTATTATGTGAATTTTGTTTTTGTTATTACGGAGTATTTTTTGTGGTGTCGATGCAAGGGATGCAAGCAATGAAATTGAGAACTGATGCAGCACTTTTCAATCCTGTCGACCATGCTAATGCCATTAGGAATGTGAATAATATGGCTCGGCAATATATAATGGGTAGTATTTATGAGAATGTGGAGTGTGTCCCCGCTGATGTTATAAATTGCTCAGCTTTGGATGAGCAGATAGACAATCGCCGTACTGATTTGCGACGACAACGTGCACATAGGCGTGGACAATCCGGATATGGCGGAGGTAGATGCTTGCTATTAATGCAGCGTTACAAGCATAGGTTGCACAACGTGGTAACAAGCAAGCAGCAAATACAGAGGATGACTTTGATAACTCGCCATCGTATTCACAGTTTGGAGATGTAGCATACACAACATCAATGGATATTGACTCTCAGAACTCGTTCTTTGCTAGTCCTACGAGTGTGGTGCATAATCCCACACAACAGGGATCATATTACCACCCAGTATAGGATTTCCAATCACATGCATCTTCTAGTCAAGCTGGAATTAGTAATCAATTTGGTGAAGAACAATATTATGATGCGCCAACCATGTATGACTTTTTCGATGAGTGGTGATTTATTATGGTTTAATGGTTTGTATGAAAACATAATTATTAACCAATCAAAATTGATTTATTATTTGCCAATAATCAATGTTTTGTTTATTTATTTTATTTCTGTTTATTATGTGCCAATCAATGTCCTTATTTATTTAATTTTTTTCTGTTTGAAATTACTGTAGAAAGTGTATGAAAGTCAATAGGTACAAACGTGTATGAAAGCAATGCTTTATTATTAAGCAATCAAAACTGATTTATTTTGTGCCAATCAATGCGTTGTTTTTGTTATTTTATTCTCTTTATTATGTGTCAATCAATGCTTTATTTAAGGCCTTTTATTTCTCTTTCTTTTTTCTCTATATTGTGTCAATAAATGCTTTATTTGTTTATTACATGCCAATCACTAGGGTATTTTATTTTAAAAAAATGATTAATAAAATTTTGTTGTGTATAGATATATATATATATATATATATATATATATATATAGTTCCTCTAATTATTTTTTTATGTATATATGAAAAAAGATTGTTGGACCACATCCAAATTATGATTTTATTAAACATTATTTTATTACAAATCGCCGTCGACGAATACGGAATCTGTAATATAATAAGTGAATAAATTTTTGTTCATTCGTTCGACCTCACAGTAGTAAAAATAAGCGTGTAAATCCTTCCAGGTTGGCAATTAAAGAATACCAAATAGTTTATCGTTCTGACACAATATTCAAACAAATCTTTGAGAGCATGATATGATTATTTGTAGTTCCGTCCATTGGTATTGAAGTGCACACTCGAATTCCCATATATAACTTCTGCTTCATCATTATCCGAAGGCGTGTCGAAGATGAAGCAAATAAGGCTTGATTCGTCCGATAAAAATTCAACTACATCAATTAGTAATGTCCTGCATCCAGATAATTCATCTAATCCAACTTCTGAAGGAATACTTAACATTGTTGGAAAGGAAATGAAATCTAAATCGTAAACGATTGAA